TACTGGTTTGCACTCTATCTGCCATATGCCTTGTGCTTTATATATATATTTTTACGTTTTACCTTATTTGTATATTTGTATAGTTGTATTTTGTATTTAACCTGTATTTATGTTATCTGTATGCACCAAGGGTCTGAGAGTAACGCAATTTCAATTCTCTGTGTGTATGTGCTGTACATGTGGAAGAATTGACAATAAAGCAGACTTGACTTGACTTGACTTGACTAATACAGTTCGGCAACCGCCGCCATGTATAACGCTTCTCATAACTATAGTATGTGAAAATAAGTGTATTCACTTAGCTGATGATCTGAATGAGAGAGAAAGAGAGAAATGCAGAGCAGGGCGAGGCCAGGAACAGGATGAAAAAGCTGCTTTTGAACATTGATTTTGAAACTTGTGAATCCATTAGAATCGTTAGAAGACAGAATCGCGATTCATATATGAATAGATTTTTACGTGCACCTCTAGTTTTCTCTTCCTCTTCTCTAAAGCAGCGCAGCATGGCCCCGCCCCCTTTGCTGCGTGTTCCCAGAGGCGGGGTTTATGTAAAATTCTGGGTTCTTGACATTACGGACCCGGGAAGTAGCTCGTTGTAGTCCCTTACAAGTGGTTTTTGTAGGCATTAAACTGCCAGAATTTTAAAAGACGATATCTCCGTTTGCATTTAACTTTCAGCTTCGTAACTTTGCAGATATTGTTTATGATCAAACAGCAACATTACACACTAACTAACATTAAAAAAGGGAAATCGCAATCAACCACCCCTTTAATTAACATTATTGACCAAAATTGCTAAATTTTTAGGCCCAAGAAGGGAAAAAAAGCTTATAAATAATAGTTCATGTAATAAGGCTAATTTTTTATTAAATAAATAATTTTTTTTTTAATTCGACAAATTTTGTAATCATTACATAAAATTAGCTACAGGACCTACATACCACAACCCCCCGCCCCCAAAAAGGACATTGACCACACCATCCCCCCTGAATTTTTTTTTTACAATTTCCTCTCATCCAATGGCTGCTGCTGACCACAATGATGCCGGGGAAGAAATTATCGGAAATAAAACATCCATTCGAGACTGTGTATTTAAAAATGGTAAACATTTGGTCGAAATCATATTCATAATGCCAAATAGTCTTTGATAACGCTTATTCCCTTTTGAAATTTTGACTGAAGAAGTAGGAGTTCTGCGCATGCGCATTATTCGAAACATAAAGGTCATCTACCACTCTACGCTGAGGAAAAGGTAAGCAAAAATGTCTTTAATTAGTAGTGTTTACACATTTAATGTTAAATTTCAGTTTTTATAGCTGTAATGTGTTTTATTTTAAAACATTTCATACTTTTCTCCATCATACGTTTGTAACTTAGCGTCTTGTTTGTGCATAATTGTATGTTCGGTCATTTCGACTAGAAATAAGCTGGTTAAGGCGCGGTCACAGTCACCGAATTTTCCACGCGAATGTCCCACTTTGACCATGGGGGAAATCTGTTTGGGACAGGGAGTAAAACCTTTGCACTGCAAGAGGCAGCTGCCACTCAATCAGCCACCACTGTATACGCATATCTGGTGATCCGTTACCATTTAATGAATGAATGAACTGTTTGATTACTGCTCGTGAAGATGGTCAATTACCGCCACATGCTGGCCGTTTTACACTGTTTAATGTATAATGTCCTTTTTCAACGATTTTATGTAGCTATTTTCAAAACGTTGTATTTTTGTATTTAAGACAATGTTTAAGTATTATGCAATTATAACAATGTGTAGCTCTCATGAAATCCAAAATGAGCCAATATTTGGCATGACATTTCAAAATGTCTCACTTTCAACATTTGATATGTTATCTATATTCTATTGTGAATAAAATATAAGTTTATGAGATTTGTAAATTATTCCATTCCTTTTTTACTCACAATTTGTACAGTGTCCCAACTTTTTTGGAATTGGGTTTGTATGTGAATAAACTCAACAAGTAGATAAATCACCGTGCATAAATCCACCAGGCCTGTATAACTATTTTAACACTTTAAATGTCATACATATCTATTGTCAAATCTAGCCTAGTCAATGCAATAATGCTACATTAATTTGCCAGGTTATTAGTTTAACTTATAACGTTAGTTGTTTTTTTATTTGGCTCCTGCTCGCTCAAGTCGTTGAGAGTGCATGGCTACATATATAATTAGCAACTAATTGTTTTGAAGCAATATTGACAAGATAGTTTAAAAGACTAAATGACCCACTGTGGAAATACAGTCAGTACTGTGTTCTTGATGTCTTTCTATTTACTTTTAGGGATAAGCATTTAAACAGAGCCACATCACTGAATGGTAAAGACTTTTTCAAAATTACACATTCTGTCACTGAAAGTAGCCCACTTTGTTTTTGTTTTTGCTATTTTGACTATTTTATATTTAGTTTTTTGCTATTTTTCTATTCTGGTTGCATTAGATGTGAACACGTTATTTGTGTATATATGTCTAATTGGAATATTTAAAATCATGTTTGTTGAGGTAACTTCACAGTCAACAGTATACTAGAGGTCTGCTACCCGACCCGAGCCCGACGGGTCCCGAAATACTTTCGGGTTGGGTTCAGGTTAATGTTTAATGAATAGCTTCGGGTTCGGGTTTATAGCTAAACTAAAACTATATGCAGTAGCCTAGGCTACGCTGCTTTCATAGCACACACATTACAGCACACGACAACACAGCACGGAAACTTTTATTAGTATAATAGCTTCGACAGGCTACTGACTCGCAACTTTATATTTCTCTGCAATGAGGGGGTAAAATCGCTATTTTTGAAGTAACTAAGCCTCATTGCTTGTAGAGAGACGCGCAGACGCAGGTTCACACACGCAACTTTCATCCCTCTCCCTCTCTCTCTCTCGCTAATTCAAATAAATGATATAATTAATTAATTCAAATAAATGCGATCTTACCGCACTGCATCTCTGTGTCTGATTTAAAGCAGGCCGAATGAGCCGTAACTGTCGAAGATTACCATAATTTCCACGATGAATTATCGTCTTGTCGTATACAACCATTCAAAAACTCGGCAGAATAAATGTGACCGCTGCACCTGATGTTCATAAACTTTCATAACTGGTAAGTGTTTTTTCTTTTGCCTTGTGAACTGGCCGAGCCTTAATGATTCTGTTTCTTTACATGTATTTGTTTACTGACCGTTGCATGCAATCGTGAAATACAGTATTTTTTTTTAAATTGGCTATTCGTTGTGGGGAAAAAAAAGATTTCGGGTTCGGGCTCTAAATTGAACGGGTCGGGTCGGGCTGGGTCAGACGATCTCGGGTACGGGTCGGGGTCGGGCTTCAGTTTAAAGCCTGTGCAGACCTCTACAGTATACGCAGTATACTACAGTATATTTTTAATAGGAATTACACACCAAGCCATTCCACTGTACTTCCTGTGTGTTTGACTTTTTCAGAACCTGCACAGTGAGTCTCCTTGAATAACTGACTGTACGACTCTTATGTATTTCATCAAAATACAAAAGTGTTTTTACTCATACTGTGGTTTAGTCAGTTCATCAACATTTGATTGGTTTTACTACATATGTGGTACTATATCTGTATTGTTTTGTTCAAACTAACTTGCCATTTATTTGAAAGGAACAGCTCACCCAAAAACTGAAATTCAGTGACGTGCGACTCATGGCTCCTAGAACATTTTGCACATACTTTATTTTCTGTGGTGAATATATCTGTTGATTTCTGCCTTTCAGAACAACAAAGCAAGCTCTTGCATTGTTCTGGTCTGGAGATCTTCACCTCATAAAAGACAATACATGAGTAATACTTTTGAGTTTTCTGAGAGTCATGTTTTGTGTAGTGTTTTAAACCTTAAAACTTTTATGATCTTCATCTTTCCTTGGTGAGCCAAAGTGAAATTTTGAGCAAATGTGACCCTGGACCACAAAAAGGGTCATAAGGGTCAATTTTACGAAATTGAGATTTATGCATCATCTGAAAGTTGAATAAATAAGCTTTCCATTGATGTATGGTTTATTATGATAGGACACTATTTGAGATACAACTATTTGAAAATCTGGAATCTGAGGGTGCAAAAAAATCTAAATATCGAGAAAATCACCTTTAAAGTTGTCCAAATGAAGTTCTTAGCAATGCATATTACTAATCAAAAATTAAGTTTTAATATATTTACAGTAGGAAATGTACAAAATATTTTCATTAAACATGATCTTTACTTAATATCCTAATGATTTTTGGCATAAAACAAAAATCAATAATTTTGACCCATACAATGTATTTTTGGCTATTGCTACAAATATACCCCAGCGACTTAAGACTGGTTTTGTGGTCCAGGGTCACAAATATATTGTCATAAATGCAGTCCTTTACACCAGACCAACAGAATTTTTTAAAATAAAATTTGTTTGATTCTTTTACACTATTTTTTAATTTCCCCTTTTGTGGTATCAAAAAGAAAAGCCATGTTATAAGAGTAAATAATGACTGAATTTTCATTTTTGGGTGAACTTTAGCTTGGCATCAGTCTTTGTGAGATTATTTGTCAAAAAACATTTTAAATTGAAATAAAAAAATGTATGGTTTACAAAAAAATTATTAAATTTAACACTTCTATTTTTGGACACCATGGATTTATTTGTGATTTGTATCTCTCTTTCATTCATTCATTTAGGACAAGTCTGATGAGTTTGGAGATGTTGCCGTGGCCCTCCTCACAGACAGTGATACAAATTTCAGTACCAACCTGTGAAAATCTCATGTCATCATGGAAATATGACTCAAGTTGTTAGGTCTAAATACAACACTATTACAAAAGAGACTAATAAATATTATGTTAATTGTACTTAATAGTGGCTCTCTGTGTACTTTCAGGTTCTATGAACTTCATGCCATGGGAACTGTAATTGAGTAACTTTTTTATTTTTTATTAGCAGTAATTAAAGGGATAGTTCACTCAAAAATGACAATTCTGTCATTAATTACTCACCCTCATATCGTTCAAACCCCATAAGAGCTTTGTTCATCTTCAGAACACAAAATAAAATATTTTTGATAAAATCCGAGAGCTCTCTGACCCTGCATAGACAGCAATGCAACTGAAATGTTCCCAGGCCCAGAAAGGACATTGGACTGACATGGAAGAGAAGAAATTGTTGAATAAAATCGTTATTTTTGTTTTCTTTGTGCACAAAAAGTATTCTTGTAGCTTCATAAAAATACGGTTGAACCACTGATGTCAAGAGCTTTGTTCATCTTCAGAACACAAAATAAAATATTTTTGATAAAATCCGAGAGCTCTCTGACCCTGCATAGACAGCAATGCAACTGAAATGTTCCCAGGCCCAGAAAGGACATTGGACTGACATGGAAGAGAAGAAATTGTTGAATAAAATCGTTATTTTTGTTTTCTTTGTGCACAAAAAGTATTCTTGTAGCTTCATAAAAATACGGTTGAACCACTGATGTCACATGGACTATTTTAACGATGTCCTTATACGTTTCTGGGCCTAGGAATGTTTCAGTTCCATTGCCGTCTATGCAGGGTCAGAAAGCTCTGAAATTTCATCACAAAACTATCTTAATTTGTGTTCCGAAGATGAACGAAGGTCTTACGGGTTTGGAACGACATGAGGGTGAGTAACAAATTACATCCTTTTTGGATGAACTATCCCTTTAAGATTTATATAAATGCTTTAGACTGTAGTTATTCATTTAAATTCTTCATAATATGAATAGTGTATAAGGATTGCTCAATAAAACTTAATGGAATTTTACTATACAATTGAGGTCTTGAACAGGATTAAATATTTTTTTGAGTGTATAGTGTGCATGTGCTAAATATTAAGTTTTTAAAGTCATTTCATTATCACATTTCAACACAAGCAGGTTTATAATATACATGTTTTTACATGGGTTTCACATAGGAAAATACCATGTGTTTCACATGGGAATTTATATGTATTTCACATGGAATCTCATGGGTTTCACATGGGATTCACATGTGATTCCATGTGTTTAACATGGGAATATACCATGAGTTTCACATGGGAATTTACATGTATTTCACATGTGATCTCATGGGTTTCACATAGGAAAGTACTATGGGTTTCACATTAGAATATACATGTGAGCTCATGTGTTTGAAATGTGATCACATGGGAATTCACATGAAAATGTTCCAAAAACACACATTTCCCACGTGCAAAGCCTACGTTTCACATGTGATTTTCACATGAAATTTCACATGTGCGGAATCACATGTGTATGTGACCACATGTGAAATTCATGTGGTTTTTCTGTAAGGGAGGTAACAAAAAATGACTGGCCATTCCGTTGGGTCGTTTGTAAAGTCACAGATACTGTACGGACAATGTACGGCTCAGTTTTTCCTATGTATCTTGCTCTGTTGAACGGCAAAAGTGACTTTATGTAGGCCATACTGGATTAACACCATACATTTCCTGTCAGAGGGACTCCGCCCCATGCCGCGCCCCCAGCTATGACATGACCCCGACCAAGTCCATGGTTGACACCCTCTCATTAGCATGTTGCGCAGAGAAATCTACATTCAGAAATATCAAAGGAAAATAAATAGGATGAATTAGGCATTTCCTTAAACATTTTCCATTTGCCCACCAATTTATTTGCCTACTTTAATAACATTTAATTATTTATATATGTATTTGAACAAGAATATGTGTATTTATACACACATTTATTTATTTGCATATTTATTTATTTATTGTTTTTGCAGGTTTCATCCTGCATATTTTCTCTCTTCAAAAACTTTATTTTTCTCTCTCCAAATTTTTTGTAGTTTGGAGAGAGAAATTTTTAATAGTTTTTTCCCTCTACACATTTTCTCATAACTTTTTTCTCTCTCCAAAAATGTTTTTTTACTGTCTTCAAATGCACTTTCTCTCTACAAAAACCTTTCAATCTCCTCAAACTTTTCTCTCTCTTCAAAACTTTTTTCTCTTCAATTTTTTTTTCTCTCTTCAGAACTTTTTTCCCTCCCATTATTTTTTCTCTCTTCACACTAACAGGTGTCACTATCAGTTTGCATGGTATGCATAAACGGTTTTAAACTTTGATTCGTACAATTACACAAAGGATTTGCATATCGTAATCAAGACGGAACCAGGTTATTATGATTCAAATGACATTGGTTGACATGTATAACAGTTGGAGTTGTTTTTAGTCGTAATATTCTAAATATGCGCTACTTGCTGCACCTCTCGCTGTCCCATGCCGTTGTCGCTACATGCTGGAAATATGGAGCAAAATGGGGGAAACGTGGGCAAATTATTACAGTGTAAAGTATATGGAGCCCTGAGTGTACATCTGGTAAAGATAATCTTGCTGTAAGTAATAAATTCCAGTCGGTAAGAAGGAAGTCATGCACAGACGGGATTCTAAAATGCTTACGGTATCTATAACGCCATTAATAATTCGGTATACAGTATTTAAATAAAATATAGCCTACTATGTAGGCTACAGTCAAGCAGGTGAACCCGGCAGAATATGAACGCAACTGAACTGCACGTTAATGAGACTTTGCGCGTTGCATTCATTTTCACAATTCTGCTTGCCTGTAGGCATATATCAATAAAGTGATAGACTATAAAAAGCCTAAATTCGGTACCACAGCAAGCGGTTCTGTTCAGCACAGCAGATCCTGCATGTCAGGTTACCTCATCACTGCCACATATTGTTACATCAGTGAAGCTGCCTTTGACCACTACAACGTACAGACCCCTAGTGCCCCCTGTATATCAGTTACAGGCTCACGTGCCAAGCCAATCCACACGGCAGTCGTTTGCTGTGTCTGACCCATATCGCCCTCCGCTACCGACAACTGGCTATCACCCTGGTCAGCCTCACGTTCAGACTCTTGTGCAGCCCTGGTATCCCCCTTCAGTGGTTCACCAGCCACCACCTCCTCTTGTTGTTATATTATAAGTACATATTATAAGATGTACGGTGATTCAAATGCGTATGCTCGCTACTGTTAATCCTTTCCTGGTCATGTTGATTCATGTATAACGTGTCAGTAGCAAGTTGTTATTTACATGTCTGTAATTTACATTTAGCAGATGCAAACTGATGCTTGTTTTATCCTGTTTATTTCAGAAAGACCACATTTAACACTTCGTGGCCTTAAGTTGTACAATATCCAATCTAATTGGAGCAATGTTGTGCCATCTACTGTGAACAGTTAAATACTTCAGATAAAGAGCTGAACAGTGCCCTGTCTCCTGTCGCACTTCTTACCCGAGTCCCGTGGTGGATTAGCATCAACACCCCTACCGATCTATTAGTCCCGTTCAGGTATAGTTCATAAAATTTTTATATATATATATATATATATATATATATACTATAACGAATTTAGACTTTTAATATCACTGTACACTCTCAGAAATAAAGGTACAAAAGCTGTCACTGGGGCGGTACTTTTTCAAAAGGTACACTTTTGTTCTTATTATGTTCTAATATGTACACTTTAAGTACTAATATGTACCTTTAAGGTACCAAAATGGACCCTTTAGGTAGCCTATAAACATGTACCTTTTGAAAAGGTACCGCCCCAGTGACAGCTTTTGTACCTTCATTTCTGAGAGTGTATTAATGGTTATTAAAGAACAATTTTCCTTTCACTTTGGAGTGTTCCAAGCTGTTTGTGCATAGATAAGATCCCTAAAGTTGCAAAGACTTAAAGTCTCAAACCCAAAGAGATATTCTTTATAAAAGTTAAGACTTGTCCACGCCCTCCTAAAACTCCTCGTTTAAACACGCCCACACATGTCTACGTCACTGTGTGGGAAGATTTGCATAACACCGCCCAAATGTTCACGCAAAGAAAGAAGGCATAACTTTTATTCTCGCTGTTGTATTGTTGTTGCCACAGCCATGTCGTGGAGACGCTGTGTGTTTCGTTGTGAAAGCGAAACTACTTTGTTTGGCCTTCCAAAAGAGGATGATATCCGCTTCGTCATGCCTAGAGCTGATCCGTGCTGGTCACTGAGGAAATACATCAACTTCATGCTGTGGATCGCCGGATCAGCTTTCACCGTGAACGAAGCGGAGTCCAGCCCGGGGTCGTCACATGTGGTTGCCGCAAGCCCGCCGGCCGCCGCTCACTCAAGCCCGCCGTGTGTGACTCTGTGTGTTTTGTTGTGAAAGCGATACTACTTTGTTTGGCCTTCCAAAAGAGGACACAACTAAAAATCAGTGGTTAAGTTTTATTTACAACACTGTTCCAGAACAGTTCAACCCAAATATTCAGATGTGTGCAGCGCATTTTATGGAGGACTGTTCCTGAACCTGCAGAGTAGCCTACAATGTGTCTGTGAACAAAGTGTGTTTCTATAAAGTGGGGCAGTTCCAACTTTGCAAGGACAGTCTGGCGCTTCTGACTCACAGCCTGTAAGTACGTTTTTTATATTTAAAGAATTTACCACTGACGATTCAAACCTTGAAAGTAAAAGTACAAGTAAAAATGCAAAATGGAAAAGAAGCAAATAAATATATATATAAAAAATTTCATACACAGCTTGAGTAGCAAGATTGTGTTCAGTTTTAACTCTTTCTTCAATTTAGTATTTTTGGGTAAGAATAAGAAGCATTTTGGGTAAGAATAAGAAGCACTTCAGCCTGGATTTAGTGTCTTTCATTCCAACATAAGAAAACATTTCTGGAATCTGCATCTGAAATAGCATTTAGATGTATTTACACAGTTTATGTATCTCAGAGGGGACATGGATGCATTTAAACTGCAGTTACAGACGCATAAATAGGTTTAATGTTCTGTTTTTAACATAAACGTTGAATACTGATATTTAAAATAATTTAAAACATGAAAAAAATAGTTGAAATGCTTCTGTATGCTTTTTATATTTATATAATTTAATATAGTTAACTTATATCACACTTATC